CCCATAAACTGTTTGTTCTATATTATCTTTTAATACTATAATATAATTCTCTTTGGACACCGGCTTTCCCAATCCTCCCTACCAAATTTGGTAAGAGAAACGTCGAATTATTTGATATATCGAAGCTGTCTATTCAATTAATGGCATGAATTCATAAAGTCAAATAAATTTGTAATCATATATTTATTGTACAGAGAATAGCCAAAACTCTAACGCAAGCTTATAACGCATAGAATCGTGAAAATAAGGGCTAGGCTAAAGGGGGGGGGGGGTTTGAATAAAATATATCCAAAGAATATGTGTCGCTTATTAAAACATAAAGTCATAGATCAAAATTCAATAAGATTCAATGCCAAATTCTTCCATTCTCAAGTGCGCCTAAACAACTCATGCATAACCCTCCTTACAGACGGCGGTCGGTGGTTAGGCTCTGCTTTCAACATCCAATCTATTAACTCTACGCATTCGTTTGAAGGTCGATTATGCTTGCTGTACATGACTCGACCTAATGCCTTGGACTTTACCCTCTCTTCATGATATGGTTTAGTTGCCTCAAAAAGTTGGTAAAAAACACTTCCAAGTACCCATATTTGTGCTGTTGATAGTTCGTACGGAATGTAATAGTCATACATTTCCGGAGGAAAAACTGAAAAAGATTGCATTATTTGTTACACAATATTAAATTCAAATATGTAATACGTATGACATGTCATGAAACTCCCATTTCTCGACTCTCACTTCGTTCTTTCACTTTCCCTTTTTTTTCCTCTCCCTTTCCTTTCCTTTCCTTTCCTTTCCTTTCAACGTTAGGAAAACTCTTGAGTCTTGCTGCAACTTGATACTTACTTGACCCAGTTCTCCCACGGCTTCTCTTTCCTTCGATTGCTAAACCAAAATCGATTAATTTTATATTACCCTCGGCATCAACGACTATATTATCCAATTTTAAATCGCAGTGATAAATCCCGTGTTTCTCCAAATGAGAACATGCCGAAAGTAACTGATGCATAATTTTCTTCGCTTCGTTTTCCGTTAATCCTTGCTTCCCTCTACTTCTCGCAACATCTCTTAAATAGTGGTTTAAAGTGGATTTTGGTTTATCTTGGCCGAATCCATGATATTCGAACACGAAAATCCAATGCTTCGGATATGCTTCTGCCCAATCGATGAATGCAATGATATTCGGATGCAATGGAATTTTTTGGAGAAGAGCTGCTTCTTTTGGAATTTTTATTCCATTGTACGAAACGGTCTTTGCCATGGATGCTTCAACAATTTTTATAGCTACTGGACGACGAGTTGATTTTTCTTCCCCATAGAATACGCTTCCAAACGTGCCTGACGCTAATTTTGAGTAGATAGTGTATGTTGCTGAGATCTGGAGAGGTAGCGTGACTTTTACATCCCTGTGAATAACTATTTGGTCTAGAACATCGAGTTTGAGATTTGATGAGGTTAAAAGTGTTGGCGATTATTAAGGTTAAATAATTGCGATTACTTACTTGACTCGGGATAAGAATGATTGCGTAGGATTTCTCCAGTCTCCCATTCGCCGAGTGTCATAGCGGCATCGCATATAATAGTTTTCTCCGAATCTTCTGGCTTAACATCGAGACTGGTCATAATTGTTTCAAATAATTAAGAGATCCCTGATTAGCGTTGTATTTATAAATGCCGCGGTGTAACTACACCCGCTGCCGTGTTTGTAGGTGCAACTAAACGCAAACTCCAATGCCTGCCGTGTAACCGTTCTTTTATGGTCAGTTGCTAGTTTCGAATGTGAGCCACACAAGGAAAACTAAAATGTTAACTTTCCTACTGAACTTGCCTAGTACGTTACTTCAAAACTCTTACCTAACGTTTTCAGTATCTTTTAAAGACGGCTCACATCGACATAGTGATAAGATAAATAGCATACTAGCGAACTTTTATATACATTTAAGGCAAAGGCGTGGTCAGTTATAATCGGAAATCTTCCGAATAATTAGGACACATGTTACACGGGGAAATATCGATTGTAAAGATGCAATTGTTTTTGATAAAAAGTGGTGATCAATCGTGCGGAACTGCTGGAACAAAAGGTACAAAATGCCATTGGTCATTGCTAATGGTCAAATATTACATATTACTAGTCTGACGACAATAGTATACTATCCTTATTTGGCCGATCATGTATCCATCCAATTATATGTCACCAAATTATTCACATTACAAACAACATTTTGCCGTTCTATATACAGATCATTGAGACACATACTTGTAGTTTTCTCCTTACTCGAACTCTCAGTAGGGTTTGATATAAATGAAAGATCCGTGGGTGTTTGTGGTGGAGACATTGGGCCATTGTTGTTTCCGTGACATTCTGTCATGTGAGTGTACATAGCAGCTGCAGCAAAGGCTACAAAATGAGTAGGATTTGTCGAGTGGAGCGTAGATGTGTATATAAGTAATGTGTGTATGTGTATATTGTGTCTGACCGTTTTGAAGTGAGAGATCTGTTGAGGGGGGGGATATATGTTAGTGTATGTATATTATTTTTAAGAATAGAAAATTTATATATGTGATACGTGATGTCTCAATATAGTAGTAATAGGCGTTGAATGCTTATTTATTAGTAATACGCAACAACTTTAACATTTTTTTTATAGAATTCATTATCAACTATCATGGTAGTCACTGTCGGCAGCTTCATATATAGGCATCAGTGACTTTCAATTAACGACATTTTGACAAAGTCCTCAGACACCTCACCTATTTGGAAGATTGGAGAGAAAAAAGGGATCGCCTGGAGTCTCAGTATATTGATGCCGAGGAGATGGCTGATCAATATACTGCAAAAGTGGGGAACACAATGCGTGAGACTGTCCAGCAAAGCGGTCTTTCACTGTGATTGGATGATCGATGAAATGTAACACAACATTAGTGTCCGTCTATTTTAAACGATTTGGTGGTTAAAACCAGGTCAGCGATGACAATGAATTGCAAAGCATATCCTACATCCTACTATCCTAGACAAATATAAAGTACAGTATAGGTTTTAGTTTCCTTCACTGATGCTCAGGTTTATAGGAGTTAATTTTGGATAGACTAATAGAGTAGACAGCAACAACACAATAAATAAGGGGGTCATTCATGAAAGCCCTCAGTGACTTTCAGTAATGGGTAAATTGGATAACTATCGTTACACTACAGGAACGGAACTTCTACGCAAAAAGTCGATAATCAAATTAGTAAAAGGAGTATAAGTGTTGCATATTAATAATAAACATAAAATCAAAATTCAATACCAAATTATTCACAAACTGTGGTCGGTGATTTCAACGTCCAATCATTAACTCTACGCACTCGTTCGAAGGTCGATTATTCCTGCTAAACATGTCTCAACCTAATGCTTTGGACTTTACCCTTTCTTCATGAAATGGCTTAATTGCTTCAAAAAGATGGTAAAAAATACCCATATTGTGCTGTTGATAGTTCGTACGGAATGTAATCTCCGCACTATCAAATAAAGTATTGTGTGACATGAAACAGATTTCCCAATGTGAACCATGAACAATTACCCTCGGCACGATGCCTACGTTATCCAATTAAATCACAGTGGTAATCCCGTGTCTCTCCAAATGATTACATGCCGACAATAACTGACACATAATTTTCTTCGCTTCGTTTTCCGTTAATCCTTGCTTCCCTCTACTTCTCGCAACATCTCTTAAGTAATGTCTTAAAGTGGATTTTGGTTTATCTTGGCCATATCCGTGATATTCAAACACGAAAATCCATTGGTTGGATATGCTTCTGCCCAGTCGATGCCATGGAATTTTTTTGAGAAGAGCTGCTTCTTTGGAATTTATTCCATTGTACGAAACGGTCTTATCCATGGATACTTCAACAATTTTTATAGCCACCGGACGACGAGTAATCTTTTCTTCTCCATAGAATACGCTCCCAAATGCGCCCGACGCTAATTTTGAGTATATAGTGTATGCTGCTGAAATCTAGGAAGGTAACGTGATTTTACATCCCTGTGAATAACTAGTTGGTCTAGAACATCGAGTTTGAGATTTGATGAGGTTAAAGTGTTGGAGATTATTAAGGTTAAATGATTGTGATTACTTACTTGACTTGGGATAAGAATAATTGCTCAGGATGTCTCCAGTCTCCCATTCGCCGAGTGTCATAGCGACATCGCATACAATAGTTTTTTCCGAATCTTCTGGCTTATCATTGAGGCTGTAAATGAACTAGCACCGAACAGACAGAAATAGTACATAGTCAACCTCGTTAATCCGAAGCCAACGGGACCGAGGCTTAAGTTCGGATTAACGCCATCTTCGGATT